AAGCCAAGCGAGTAAGAACCCTTCTAGGCAGAGCCTAGGTAGGGTAAAAAAACTCAAGACCTCCATATACATCTCCCATCACCCTCCATCCTGGCAGGTGCTGCAAAACTTGAGCTCCAAGATCGTAAATGGTGAGGAAGTCTCCGGCGCATCGCCGAGCCCACCGTGCAGAAACATCTGGGGGCGCGGCAGCAAGCAATGGTGTATTTTCAAGACGCCCATTCACATCTTCCACGCCCCTCCATCCTTGTAGCTGTCACCAGGAGAGTAAACGGTGAGGGCGTCTTAGTGGGAACCCCCTGCCTGTCCTACCAACACATATGGGGGTGCGGCTGGAAGGATTTGTCTATAAGGAAAAAGATGGAGAGGGAGGACAATAATAGAAAGGCTGTTCCCCAATGCGAAGTACTACCCACCTACGTGGGCTACCCACACCCTCACCCAGACCTCAATGACACTGAGCCCGGCCCACGCGAAGTGGACGTGATACTCCATTCTGGCGACACACTTATCTTATTTTGGCATGGTGCCCAGGCCTGTGCGTGGGCCACATCTCTGATTAAAATGCTGCTGCCGCAGAGGCGCCTGCGGCAGCCTTCATTGAGCATGTCGTTCTTGCCTCGGCGCCGGCCACATCTCTGATCAACAATGTTGCTGTCGCAGAGGCGCTTGCGGCATCTTTCATTGAGCATGTCGTTCTCGCCTTAGTGTCCCGCCGCATATCTGATAGAACATGTTTCTATAGCCTAAGCGTTGGCGGCATCCTTCATGGAGCATGTCGTTCTCGCCTCGGTGCCGGCCGCATATCTGGCTGAAAATGTTTATGTCAGCCTTCGTTGACGATGTCGTTCTCGATTTTACTCCAGCCACATGTCTGATTGAACACATTGCTGCCGCCTAGGCGCTCGCCGCATCCTTCATTGAGCATGTCGGTTTCGCCTTGGCGCCGGCCACATTTCTGGTTGGAAATGCTGCTTTCGCTGAGGCGCTCGCCGCACGCATAATTGCGATTGTTGGTCTCGCCTCAACGCGGGCCGCATTCTCGATTCGGAATGTTGCTTTCGCCTAGGTCCTAGGCGCCGGCCCCGCGCATGGTTGCGAGTGGTGTGCTCGCCTCAGCGCGAGCTGCACTCTCGAAATGGAATGCTACTTCGGCCTGGCGAAAGCATGATGACAAAGGCTTTTCTTGCCTCTGCCGCTTCGGCGCCGGCCGCACCCTTGACTCCGAATGCCATTCCTGCCCTGATTATAGATTGTCCCATCGCTGGGGCGTCCGCCACATCTTGATTGTGAACGCCGTTCTCGCCACAGGGGACGACGCAGTCTCACAAGCTTTTGGGCTGCCCAAGCTTTTTGATCGTGGCCCCATCCGCGGCCAGTTTGGCGCCACGGTGCCGCTTAGGCTTATTCGCGTTGCGCGGCTTCCCTGGAGGCGCTGGTGCTGCTGCTTCGCGTGGTGCTGCTGCCTCTTGTGGTGCTCGTTCCACTGGTACTGTTTGTTGCGCTTGTGCTGGTGCGCGTAGTGCTGCTGCTTCCCGTTCTGCTGGTCACAGAGGTGCTGCTGGTGGCATATGTTGTGCTGCGCTTGGTGTTGTTGCTTCCCTTCCAACTGATCATACTGCTGCTGCTGCTGCTGCTGCTGCTGCTGCTGCTCGCGTTCGTGCTGTTGCGCTTGGTGCTGCTGGTTCCCGTCGTGCCGGTCACAGTGGTGCTGCTGTTTTCGCTTGTGTTGTTGGTTATTGCTGTGTTGGTCACGGTGTTGCTGCTGGTTGCGGAAGTGTTTGTGCGCGTTGTGTTGTCGGTTCTTGTCTTGTTAGTCGCGCTGGTGCTGCTGGTGGCGCTATTAGTGTTGCACGTGGTGCTGTTTTGCGTCGCGATCGTCGCAGTGCTACATCTTGTGGCGAGGTGATGTTGCTTGCTGTCGTGATGGTCACAGAGGCGTTGCCGATGGCGCGAGTGTTGGTCACATTATTGCACTGATGCGGCTGGCGCTCGTGATGCTGCTGTTGGTGCTGGTGGTTCTTGTCGTGCTGGTCGCACTGCTGCTGCCGATTGCGCTGGTGCTGCTGTGCGTAGTGGGGCTAGTCGCAGCCGTGCTACTCACAAAGGCACTGCTGATGTCGCTGGTGCTGCTGCAAGTGGTGCTGATGTTTCTGGTCGTGCTGGTCTCAGGGGAATGGCGTGTTGCGCTCGCGCTGCTCCTGCCGCACGCCCGCGGCGCGTGGCGGCCCGCAGCCGCCGCAGCAGGCGCTGGCGAAGCCGGCAGCGCGGCGGCCTCTAGACGCCCTGGACGACTGCGGTCGCAGGGCGCTGCCCAGGGGCCGCTGCTGGCCGGGTGGGGCGCCGCTGCTGGCCTGGCAGGGCGCCGGTGCCAGGCGCTGGAGCTGCTGGTCGGGCTGGGCGGCGGCAGGCGGTTGGCGCTGACGGCGGGCCCGCGAAGAGCCACTACCCCGTTGTTGCGCTCGCCCTGGCGCTCCCCGGTAGCGCTGCCATTATGGCTGACGCAGCCCTACTCGTGGGAGCGACCGCCGTTCGGGCTTGGACCGAGTAGCATTTGCTCCCAGGGGCTGGCAGGTGCTGGTCTCTCACTGGGGCTCAGCCGAGCTTCATGCGGACAGATTGCGCATCCCTGGTCTGGGGTGTTTTCGGTGTCCAGCGCAATATCGAACGATCTTGGCCGTGACGCTGTGCGGTGGAGTGCGGGAGCGCCTCGCCCACCCCCCGTCTCGCCCGTGGGGGGGTGGGGGCGATCGCGCAATCCAGCACGAATCTTCGTTCTAGCGGAATTGATGGTAGCGCTTGTGCTGCTTCGCGTGGCGCTATTGCTTCCCGTCGTGCTGATCACAGACATTCTTCTAGTGGCGCAGAGGCTGCTGCGCGCATCGTTGTTGCTTCCCGTCGTGCTCGTCACAGTGGTGCTGCTCGTGCTCTTGCGCTGATGTGCGTAGCGCTGCTGCTTCCCGTCGTGTGGGTCACAATGCCGTTGCCAGTGGTGCTTGTATTGCGTCGCGTGGCGCTGCTGCTTCCCGTCGTGCTTGTTACAGTGGTGCTGCTGGTGTTGATGCGTCTTCGCGTGGTGGTGCTGCTTCCAGTCGCGGTCGTCACACTAGTGCTGCTGGTGTCGCTTGTACTGGTGTGTGTGTGGTTGTGTTGCTTGATGCCGTCCTGACCGCGGAGCTACTACTGTTGTCGGTGTTGTTGCTCGTGCTACTGCTGGTGGTGGCACTGGCGACGCTGTAGTGTCGTTGCGGTGGTGATGCCAGTTGTGTTAGATCTTGCGCGCGTGGTACTACTCGTTCCCGTTGTGCTGGTCAGAGTGGTATTGCTGGTCGCGGTGGTTGTTCTGTGCGTCGTGCTGCCGCTTTCCATGGCGTTCGTCACAGTGGTGTTTGCTGGTGGCGTTGGTGCTGCTGCGCGTTGTGCTGCTGTATGCTGTCGTGTCGGTCACAGAAGTACTACTGATGGTACTGGTCCTGTTCGCTCTACTGGTGCTAGCGGCAATGATGCTGCTGCACGTGGTGCTGCTTCGTCGGGCAGTCCTCGGCACAGTGGTACTGCTGGTGACATTGGTGCTGCTGCGCGTAGTGGTGCTAGTCTTTGTCTTGCTACTCACAATTAAGCTGCTGGTGGCGCGGGTGCTGCTGCTGGTGGTGGTGATGCTGCTTCCTGTCAGGATGGTCACAGTGGATCTGCTCGTGTCGCTCGTGCTGCTGCGCGACCGACGAGATGCGAGTCGTCGTACGCACCTGGCCGGCAGTGTGGTGGGGGGCATTCGCGCAGTCCAGCGCGAATCGCTTGGCGCTGCTGGTTCCCGTGGTGCCCATTTTAGTGGAACTGCTGGTGGCGTTTGTGCTGCTTCGCATGTGGTTGCTTCCCGTCGTGCTGGTTGCAGTGGTGTTGCTGGTTGAGCTGGTGCTGGTGCATGTCGTGCTGCTGGATCCTGTCGTGCTCGTCCAAGTGGTACTGTTTCTTGCGCGTATGCTGGTGCGCGTAGTGCTGCTGCGTACAGTCGTGCTGGTCATACTGGCACTGCTGCTGATGCATTTGCTGATTCATTTGGCGCTGCTCGTCCCGATCGTACTCGTCACAGTGGTGCTGCTGGTGGCGCTTGTGCTGCGTCGCGTGGTGTTGCTGCTTCCCGTCGTGGTCGTCATACTGTTGCTGCTAGTGTCGTTTGTGCTGGTTCGCGTGGCAGTGCTGTTTGCTGACGTGCTGGTCACACTGGTACTTTTGGTGACGCTTGTGTTGGTTGCACTACTGCTGCTAGTGGTGTTCGTGCTGCTTCTGCGCATGATGATGTTCCTTATGGTACTGTTGCGCTGGAGACTGCGCGTGTGCAGGGGTGCACTTCGCCCACGTTGGCCGCATCCACACTTTCAATTGTTGTCTTGGTTTTAGCGCCGGCCATATTTATGATTGCGAATGTTGTTTTCGCTTCAGGGCTGGCCACAGACATTAATGCGAATGTCACTTTCACCTCAGCGCCCGCCACATCAATGATTGCGAACGTTGTTCCCGCCTCAGCGCCGGCCATATCCATGATTGCGAACGAACGTCACTCTCGCTTCAGCGCCAGCCACATCCATGATTAAGACGGTTGCTGTGGCCTCAGCGCCGGCCACAGACACATGATTGCGAGTGTTGTTCTCGCTTTCGCGCCAGCCACAACCATGATTGCGAATGTTGCTCTTGCTGCAGCGTTGGCAGATTCTTCATTGGAGCCGAAGAGAGATCAGTGACACAGTTGGTACTCTTGCACTGCATGTTGCTGAGTCGCTCCTCTCTGGTGCATCATCTGCTACAACGCGCGCGACACACACTGGGGTCGCCGAACCGCTGGTCTGGTTAGCTTTGATGGGCCAGGCTAGCTTTGGCGCAGTGTCGACAGGGGTCTGGTCAGGTTAGGTCAGGGATGTGCCGCGTCAGGTTAGGGGGAGGCCTGCAGCCCTGCTGTGAGAGAGGAGAGCACCGCCTGAAGAGAAGCGAGCCGGAGTCCCGAGGGCCTCAAGGAGCAGTGCGAGCTGGACGCGAAGACCGACGAGATTTTGTACGAGAAGTTTGTGTGTCGCGGCCACAGCTGCGCTGGGGCGCGTGTGGAGAGTCGTCCTGGATGTGCGCAGCGAAACGGCTTCAGGAGGCGCGGGCCTCATGTCGGGAGCTCTTGTGGCATGCTGGGGCCCGTGGAGGGCATGTCAAAGCCTCCCAGGGTTCAGTTCCAGCTTCTTGGGAGATGAGATGGGGCATTTTGGGGCACCGTCGAGTCCTAAGGCATAGCTGAAGTCTGTCGGGGGAGGTCCTCCCAGGAGTTGAGGTCCACGCCAAGCCGCTGTTGAAGAGGTCATCTCGGGGCGTTCTCGGGTGGCTTCGTTTCGATTCATCTCAGAAGCATGCTGGATCCCCCTGGGTCATTCTTGGTGGAGGTGGCGTCGTTCACGTTCACGCGTCCTGAACCATTTTGAGCCCTCTCGGGGGGAGCGTTGGTTCGGAGGGTCGACTAGATGGCCTGGTTTCAGCAGGCGCGGATGAGGCGTCCGCGGGGCCCTTGGCGCGGAGCGGCCTCATGGGCACACCACGGTCTCTTGGTCTCGTGGGGAACCTCGAAGCATTTTGGAAGGGGGGAGGGGGATGGAAATGGCGGTTTCTGGGGTCCCTGGATGGACTGTTGGGGCTCTGGGGGTCTACGTTGCCAGGACCTGGCGGCGAAAACGACAGTTTGGAATGCGTCGCCTCCTTGATCGGATTCGTCGCATGAGCCTGGCACAGTGTCAGTGGGCACGGGTAGGGGCCCTTGTTCCTCGCGCGCGAGGTTTCATCACGACTTGAGCTCACGAAGGATTTTTTCATAACTAATGAAGACGCCATTGCGATTCAGTGTGCGATTGCAGACAGATGTCGACACCTCCGTTGTGTTTCCTCGTCCGTGGGCGCTTTGGCCTTAACTGTTTGGGCCAGCACGCGGGGGCTGCGTTCTGACGGCTTCGAGGCGTAGCGCGGTCGTGGGGGCCACGGGCGATCCCTCGCGCGGCGTTGCCGGGCTGCAGGATCAGCAGGGAGATCGGCCGCAGACAAACTCCGCGCAGAACTCACTTCGAAATCCACAACGAAACTCTCCAGACAGTCCGGGTCCATACCATTGTTTTCCGAGAGAAATCCGCTCTGCGATGCTGGCGCCATGATACTCCCTGAGAATACCACCCGGGGGATACGAAGAATCGGGATCGCGGGGGGCGAGTGCACGACTTGTCCCGGCGAGTCGAATGCAGGATGTACGGATGACGAGGAAAGAACAGGTCGTTGTCGTCGTCTTCGCCGTCGTCGCCTGCACGGTGAAGCTGCAGCGGTGAGAATCTACAATAGCCTTGCCATACGTTCGTGACTTGGAGAAGCTGAAGTGGTGAGACTCTCATATATCCCAGCGATTCGTTCGTGGCCTGGGAAAGTTGAACGTGGTGATAATAGCATTCTCCAGGTACACATTCGTGATGATGATGCTATTCAACATAGGAAGATCACAACTTTGATGCGTAGCTTTCCCTTACGATGACTTAGTTCGGCCTCGCCGCCCCTCTTCCCCGACCAATTTTGTTTTGGCCGGAGAGAATCAGCTCTCAGGACTGAAGGGGGGATAGTTTATTATCCGGGGGTTAGCCTTTGGGCTGTGGGCATCATCCACTGAACTCCAGCGTGATCAGAGGCTCGGTAGAGCTCGTGCATCTGACTGCGGTCTCCCAGGAGGAGGGGGTGCAGCAGGACGAGGGGAGTGAGAGCGAGGGAGTGGACTGGAACCTGGGCCTCAGGGGGGGCTGCTCCTGACCTGGGGAGGGAACGACGATGGCGGCGAAGACGACGACTCAGGCGACGACGGCGATGACGACGACGACGACGATAACAAATGCTGACGACGTACGCGACAACTGCCAAGGATAATACTATCCGCCGACCGCTCGGGGGTCTCCAAGCACGTGAGTCCCCCCAGGGCCCCAAGTCTCCCGTGTGAATCAGGGTCCCCCACGCGGGGGCGTAGGGCGTTCCATATGCCTTCGTTTACTATGCCCCCGTCTGCGGAGCCCAGGGCCCTCAAACGGGGGCATAACCAAACGTGGGAATCTGCGTTCGCCGTGCCCCTGTCTGCTGTGACCCCGTCTCCGGCGCCCTGGCTGAAGAGGGAGAGCTCGTCCAGGAACACCGTGGCCTGCCGAATTGTCTGGGTGCCGCCGCCCAGATCCTGCGCCCGAGGCGGCCTTCCAGCCGGTCGCGGAGGGTCCCGAAACGATTCAGCCAGACTCAAGACGGCTGGCAAGGCCTCCCAAACACCAAAGAGAGCCCGCACACGGCCCAAGGAAGTCTAAAGGCAAGCCGGAAGAAGGCGAGGCAAGCAAACGGACCCCCCACATTTTTCGACGAACTTCGCGCCATCACCCTTTCAGGTTGCACAGCGCCCCAGACAGCCCCAAACCCAGACAAGCTCGAGAAGGCACCAGTACGGCCGATGAGGGCCCCATAACACATCAGATGGCTCGCAGACGGTCCACGAGAACCCAAGACGGCTCCATCCCACATGCTTCCAATATGAGCTAAAGAATTGAGCAGGGACCGACCGTCCGGGCATCCTCCTGGCGACCCCGCTGCCATGCGCCCTGTATCCCTCCTGGTCGCCTCGAGGTGGCTGGGGCACCTGGTTTCAGACCCCCGCCATCTCTGCGAGGGAAGAAGCTTGGGGACCATGGCGAAGATATCGCGAGATCTCGTCGACGCCGATCTTGGTCATGGTCTACGCTCGCCGTCGGCGATCCACAAGGATGTACCACGACCCGATGCCGACCAAGACGGGCGGTGACCAAGATCGACACACCGCTGGGGCTTGAAAGCCGCATCCGAAGGCCGAAACGAAGTGAGATTGACGGAATTTCAGGAAAATTGCAGGAACCAACAACAGAAACAATAAAAACACGGGTGAGGTCTGGGTGTCGACTGATCTTTCTCGGGAGTTTGCCAGCTAGCCTCCCTCCCGTAGAGTGGAGAGGTACAGTAAGGTCGTGTCATGTCGAGGTGGCGGAAACGCCAGCAATTTCATGCTAGGTTGAACGCCACTAATCCCCAGAATCGGCAGATTCTGAACGTTGAGCGCTGTCTGAAAGCCTCGGCCATTCCGGGCTGAACAGTCTGCGTGGTGTCAGAAACCAGCGCTCGAGTCGCCGAGATACGAAACCCGCCGCATGCCTCTCTTGTAGACAGTGTTTTGTTGTGATCCCGTGGCGCGTGGCGGTCGTCACCAGGGCTGGGCCTCTCGATTACCCCCCCCCTCGGGTGGCGGTTGCGATCGCACGCAGGGGAGGCTTGGATCCCCCCACGCACACGCTGGTGCTCGCGCGCCTACTCTGGCGATCGCAGCGCGCCCCCGCCCCGCAGTGCCCCAGCCCCGCCCAGGCCCAAGCGTGAATTACTGTTTGACCCCCCCCCCCAGGGTAACGACCGTGACCAGAAGTAGCAGCAAACGTCGTCGCTCGGCAGTGTGCGCGCCCGAGGCTGGGGCCGAGAGGTCCTCAAGCAGAAGAAGGCCACGAACGCCCTTGCCACCAAGGACCGGCGGCCGCTCGCTACCGGTCACCTCCCTCGGGGAGCTGGCCGACGAGGCGCCCGGAGCTTCGGCTCGCCAGGCGAAAACGCACAGGCGTCGCAGGAGGTCAGGTGATGGGCCTGTTTTCCACCACCACCACCATAAGTTGGAGGGGGGAAGGAGGAGGAGGAGGAGGAGGAGGAAGAGGAGGAGGTGGAGGAGGAGGAGGAGCAGGAGGAGCAGGAGGAGGAGGAGGAGGAGGACCCCCTCTCCCTGCAACTTATGGTGGCATCATCAGGGCCCCAGGTCTCCCACGATCTGTTTGCTCAGCCCACCTTGTGGTGCCCATCGGTCCTTGAGAGCAGGCATTTCTGGATTCCCAGATTCCAGTCTTTTTGGAGCGCCTTCCTGCTTCAATGATCGAGTGGCTTCACCGCTTCCGTCCTCTTTAGGGGGCGGGCGGACACCCGATCTGCCGTCGACGCCTGCCTGCTTCCTGTCTCGACCCACTTCTTCTGGCCGGTGAGCACACCCGCCCCCGGGTGCCCGAGGCCGCCTGCGCACGCCCCGGGGCGGAGATTCGCAACGCCTGAGGCCTCTCGCGTTCCTTTGGGGCGTCTCTGCTCGCCTGTAGGCCCCCTGCGCTGCCCGTCGGCTACCCTCGCGCGTTGTGCGCTTGCCCTCGCCGCGGGCCTGAAGAGTTGTTTCCAGTGCTGGAGGTCTCGTGAGGGTGGTCACTGCTGTCTGCGCACGGTAGGTTCGCGTCGTGTCGACCAGCGGCGACCCCGCTGCTGGCGTTCAACGTTGAACGCCGCCGGCTACCCAGACTCGGTCGACGTTGAACGATCTGATGTTTCGTGAACGGCCGATCATTCAAGGTTGAACGATCCCCTCGATGTCAGGAGCCAACGCAGGGATCGACACGATACGAACCCGCGGTAACCTGCATGGTGGTTTGGTCGTTACGCAGCTGGCCCTTGCAAAACCTTTTTACCGCGAGCCACCCTTTGGAATTCCGATATGGTGGTGCGGCACTCGGAGTTCACACTTTGATGATTCCGTTCGATTTAACCGCATCAACCACCAACGCCCCAACCGCCATCTCGGAAATCCGCGCTCAGCAGGGAAACCACGGGCGTCGTTAAATGCAAGACCCCAGACCCCGGATATCCCACGATATTTTCCCGTTTGACGTTTTTCTTCGATTTCAGCCTCCAGCGCCCACTATCGGGCCCCAGGACATTCAAACATTGTTCCGGAGCGACGAACTATCCCAATGGACGGGGTCGGGACCTCTGGAGCAGCGCATTGAAATCATCAGATCGCCGGATGTCAGGGACTAGAGCTTCCGACCCAACTTTTCTGCGGTATCTTTAGAGCTGGATCGATCCGGCGGAGGGGGGGGATGCATATGGCACGAGATGATCAAACGCGGTTTTTTTCGTCGCGATTTCTTGATGCGGAGCCGTCTTGAGCTCTCTTCGGCTCCAAAATGGGCCTTCGGGAACAATCTTGAGTCGACGAGACCAGTAATCCAAAGTACGTTAATTGTCCAAGTGTATTGTACGTGTTGACATCTTCGGTGTCCTCCAGGGTGCAATGCAGGGTCGTCTTCTTGTCTTGCTGTCCTCTTGGGCCGTCTTGGGCTGTCTTGGGTTCGCCCCGGGACGGTCTAAATCTGTATTGGGCCCTTGTGGCCCCTTCTTGCGCCGTTGGGACCTTTGACAGCGCCCAGGAGTAAGGCAGCCCCAGCTGGAATTAACACGTGGCATCTCGCTTTGCCTTTTACAGCGCCTCGTACTATGATCATACTGCTGCAACTACCATGTGTGCGAGTGAGAACATAGACAGGTCATAGAAGCCCACGCGTTGCTTGGAGGGCTTTCCAGGAGAGGGGTGCGCTGTCACGCAAACAGAGGTGCCGGGCGCGTCAAAAGTGGGCACGCGGAGCGGTGGCCCTTTCCACATGTTGTCGCCGATTGCCACGCGCTGGAGTGGCGGTCGATGTCCTTACTTCGTAGCCTCGGGGATCTCAAAGCAAGTCAGGAAGCACCCAGAGAGAGAGAGAGAGAGTGACAAACGGATGCATACAGAGGGAATGCGGGTGAAATAGAGAGGGAGAGACAGAGGGACAGAGAAGGATAGGGATATGCAAAAAACGAGAGAAGCATGCATATTAGAATGATGGGGCCGAACGGTCATTCATTGTCCCTGGGTTGCGTGGCTGAAGTGGGGATCCGTGGTGAGGATTCTGCTTGCTGCGTTGTTGAACTCTCATTACATTGTATAATTATTGTTGACCCCCCACTGCGGTGCACATTGTACGTTTCTATTGAAGTGCCCCTCCCGGCGCTCGCGCATTCTTTTTTACCAGGGAAAGTATTCGTCCTCAAATTGTGTTGTTGGCCCCCGGGGTACAACAACAACGGCTCCCGCTTGAGCTTCCTCACGATGTCCTGGCATCGCTCGGATGTGTGCATTTGTTTCTCGGCGAGGGCCATCGAGGACCATCCTCGACCAACGAGCAAAAAGAAAAACACGCACGAAACCGAAACATGCACGGGAAATGGACGTCCGAGCGGCGAGATGTAGCAAGGACCCCCGCTCCCGCCTGAAATTTCCTCGCATTTTATTCAGGCATCGCGCTCTCGCTCGGGACCTCCGCACCATTCATTTAGGCATCGCTCCCTCGGCGCACGGGAGTCGCGCTCTCGCTGGAGACCCGCCTGCACTTTACTTGAGAATAGCGCCCTTTACTCGAGACTTAAGTTAGTCTCGCTCGAGACTTGCTTACAATTTACTCGAGACTTACTTGCAAGTTTCCCGCAATTTACTCAAGCGCCGCGCTCCCGACACTCAGGCACCCAGGAGTCGCGCTCACGCGTTGGACTCCCTCACACATTCTTCAGGAATCGAGATCTCGCTGCCCTTCGTGGCCCCGTTGCGCCCCTTCGTGGCCCCCTCGCTTTGTTTCGTGGCCGCGTTGCAGCCCTTCGCGGCCCCCTCGCTGCCCTTCGTGGCCCCGTTGCAGCCCTTCGTGGCCCCCCTCGCTTTGTTCCGTGGCCCCGTTGCAGCCCTTCGTGGCCCCCTCGCTGCCCCTCATGCCCCCGTTGCAGCCCCTTCGTGGCCCCCTCGCTGCCCTTCGTGGCCCCGTTGCAGCCCCTTCGTGGCCCCCTCGCTGCCCTTCGTGGCCCCGTTGCAGCCCCTTCGTGGCCCCCTCGCTGCCCTTCGCGGCCCCGTTGCAGCCCTTCGTGGCCCCCTCGCTGCCCTTCGTGGCCTCGTTGCAGCCCTTCGTGGCCCCCTCGCTGCCCTTCGTGGCCCTGTATATGTATGCCCTTCGTGGCCCCCGCTCGTTCGCGCCCGTCGGGGCCCCATATGCATGCCCATCGTGGCCCCGCTGTCGCCCTTTGTGGCCCCCTCGCTGCCATTCGTGGCCCCCTCGCTGCCCTCAGTGGCCCCGTCTTTACCCTCCGCGGCCCAATCTACGTATGCCCTTCGTGGCCTCCGCTCGTTCGCGCCCGTCGTGGCCCCATGTGCACGTCCTCCGTGGCCCCGCTGTCGCCCTTTGTGGCCCCCTCGTTGTCCTACGTGGCCCAATTGCTACCCTCAGTGGCCCCTTCGTTGCCGTCTGTGGCCCCGCATTATCTGCCCTTCGTGGCCCCCGCTCGTTCGCGCTCTTCGTGGCCCCATACGCATTCCCTTCGTGTCCTCGCTGTCGCCCTTCGTGGCCTACTTTGTGCTCTTCGTGGCCCTGCTGTCGTTTTCTCTCTCGCTCTCGCTTTCGCTCGTCGTCGTCGTTGTCGCCGTCGTCGTCGTCGACTTCGTCGTCGTCGTGGTCGGTCCCCTGTCCGTCCCTCTTGGGGTCGGGTTGCCGCCGATCAGCGCTGCCGCTGGCCAGGCCGACGGTCCGCAGCCGCCCCGCCGCTTGCCGAGGCCCGGCTTGCAGGGCAGAAAGGTATACCCCCCAAATGGGGTACGATCGAAGACGAAGAGGGCGGGTCTCGAGGATTTGGGAAAAACGCGCTAACGGACACCCGAGCAGATAAGAGCGATTAGTCTTAAATTTATTGTTGTTATTGTTGTTGTTATTGTTGTTGTTGGTTTTGGTGTTGTTGGTGTTGTTGTTGTTGTTGTTGTTGGTGTTGGTGTTGCCGTTGTGGTTGTGGCTGTGGTTGTGGTTGTGGTTGTGGTTGTTGGTGTTGTTGTGGTTGGTGATGTTGTTGGTGCTGTTGTTGTTGGTGTTGTTGTTGATGTTGTTGTTGTTAGTGTTGGTGTGGTTGTTGTTGTTGTTGTTGTTGTTGTGATTGTTGTTGTTGTTGTTTTTGTTGTTGTTGTTGGTGTTGTGGTTGTGGTAATTGTTGTTGTTGTTGCTGTTGTTGTTGTCGTTGGTGTTGTTGTTGTTGTTGGTGTTGTTGTTGTTGTTGTTGTTGTTGTTGTTGTTCGTTGTTGTCGTCCCACCCTGCGACCCACCTGCGACCCACTCGGCGACCCACCCCGCGACCCACCCCGCGACCCACCCTGCGACCCACCCCGCGACCCACCCCGCGATCCGCCCCGCGACCCACCCGCGACCCACCCGCGACCCACCCCGCGACCCACCCGCGACCCACCCGCAACCCACCCCGAGATCCACCCGGGACCCACCCGCGACCCACCCTCGACCCAACAGCGACCCACCCGCGACCCACCCGCGACCCACCCGCGATCCATTTGCGACCCACCTGTGACCCACCCGCGATCTACCCACATTGGTTTTACGAAACGACCTGCGCCTGCGGCGGGCTCGTTGTATAATTTGTAGAAAGGTTGGTGCCTGCGGCGGGCTTCTCCAGAGTCTCGCAAACTGCCGACGTCCCCACCGCCCCATCACTCTTATCCGCATCTGCGGGGTGCTACGTATACGCATGTCTGTATATATGTATAGAGAGAGAGGGTGAGAGCGAGAGATATCGAAAGGATAGAAAGAAAAGGGCGCTCGAGCACACAGAGGCTGGCGCTGGCGGACATCAGGGCCGACAAAGGCCCGCGGCGCACTTGCCCTCTTTCCAGGAGGTCGCCGAGCTGACCCAGTACATCGCGGACCTGGACGCCGGACGCATCGAGCTCACCACCGAGCGCGAGGATCTCGTCAAGGAGCGGGCCCTTGGGGGGGGGGGGGGGGCGAGGGTAAGCGTTGTAACTCCGCCCCCTGGAGCAACGCTCGTGTAAGGGTCTTCGAGGCTTTACATAATCGGTGATTTTCATCATCATGTAGAGTTTCTTCCTCTCCCTTCGTCGTCGTCGTCGTCGTCCTCCTCCTCCGTCTTCCACATGAGTCCTTGTAGAGTCCGCATATGAAAAGATCTGTTTGTTACCCGCCACAAAGGGAATCCTTTTGTAATCCGCCACAAAAGGGAATCTTTTCGGAATCCGCAACAACAAGAATCCTTTCGGAATCCGCAACAGAAGGAATTCCTTTAGAATCCGCCACAAAAGGAATCCTTCTGCAATCCGCCACAAAAGGAATCCTTTTGGGATCCGCTACAAAAGGAATTCCTTTAGCGCGGACGTGCAAGTTGTTCGACTGCTCATGGGGTGCAAGGAAACAAATAAACAAAATGAAAATAACCCGGGAAAAAGAAAACATAAAAGACGCATGGGACTCGCACGTTTTTTTGTTTGTTTTTTAAAGATTTGTTGGTTGAGTACCACTGCCACAAAAGAAATCGTGTTGTAATCCGCAACAAAGGGAATCCTTTTGCAATCCGCCACAATAGGAATCCTTTTGTAATCCGCCACACTAGGAATCCTGTTGTAATCCGACACAAAAGGGATAAAGAAATTCTGGTGGAACCCGCTACAAGAGGAATCCTTTTGTAATCCGCCACAAAACGAATCCTTATGGAATCCGCAAAAGGAACTTTCTTTTGGGAATGCGCCAGAGAAAAAGTCTTCTTGTAATCTGCCACGCAAGGAATCCTTTTGGACTCCGCCACAAAAGGGATTCCTTCCGGGCGGACGCACAAGTTGACCGACGGCTCAGAGGTACCAAGGGAAAAAGAACAAAAAACATAACGAGGAAAAATGAAGAAAACAACAAACACGCATGGGACTGTCAGGTTTTTTGATGAATTGTTGGTTGGGTACCACCGCCACTGAAAGGATTCCTTTTGCGGCGGTGGTACCGAACCCAAAAAAAAAACGTGAGAGTCCCATACTTTTTTATACTTTTTTCCCCCTGGCCATTTTTCTTTTTTTCCCCCTGGTACCCCCTGAGCCGTCGGTCAACTTGTGCGTCCGCCTTAAAGGAATTCCTTTTGTGGCGGATTCCAAAAGGATTCCTTGTGGCGCGGATTCCGGAAGGATTCCTTTTGTGGCGGGTTACAAAGAATTCCTCATGCAGCGGGTTCCAACAGGATTCCTTTATTCCTTTTGCGGCTGATTACAAAAGGATTCCTATTGTGGCGGATTACAAAAGGATTCCTATTGTGGCGGATTCCAGAAGAATTCCTTGTGTGGCGGATTGCAGAGCTATTCCTTTTGTGTGGCGGAGTACAGGCGCCCACCGCCGCCCACGAGAGCTTTCTGAGGCCGCAAAAGGGGGAACTGCTGCGCACTTCTTTGCAATTGTTGGGCTGGCTTGGGCGGTTCACAATGAAGCCTTCGGGTGCCTTCGGGGTGCCTTTGCGGGTGCCTTCGGGTACTCCCCGGGCGCTCTCTCCGGCGCCGCAGGGAGGAAGAACTGGGATGCCTCGACGGTGTTCTTTTTGTCCCTTTTGTCCCTATGTGCCCCCTTTTGTCCCTTTCTGTCCCCTTTGCTCCTGTTGTCCCCTTTGTCCCCGCTGTGTCTCCTTTTTGTCCCCGCTTTGCCCCCTTTGCATTCTTTGTCCTCTTTGTTCCTCTTTTGTCCCCGTTGTCCCCTCTGACCCCGTTGCCCCTTTTGTCCTTTCTTTGTCCTCTTTTGTCCCCTTTGCCCCTTTTGTCTCTCATTGTCCCCTTTTATCCCCTTTGTCCCCTTTTGTCCCCTTTGTCCCCTTGTTGTCCCCTTTTGTCCCCCTTGCCCTAATTCGTGTTGTTGTGATCCCATGACTTAAATGCTCGAGCTCGCTGTTCAGGGGCTGATGCGTACTTGCGGTTGCCTGTGGTGCCATTCAGTGGAGTGCCGTTGTGCGTAGTTCAGCAACGCCCGTTCCGCAGCAAAACATCATTGGCCCCCAACTCAGAGATTCAGAGGAACTCAAAGGGTAGCGAAGTCGTTGCAGAACCGTACGGTATATGATGTTATGTGAATTTGTCCATGGTCGATTTGAATATACCAGATCCAGAAGGTTCCCAACAGGATGTCAATGGAATTGAGCAGGGCCCAAATCTAGAGGATCTCAAGTTGACCCCAATAAAAGTCACATCGGGATAGTGCAAACCAGATGCAAAGGCATCCAGATTCGATTTCAAGAGTATGCCAATTTGTTCCATTGTGGTTGTAGCCCACAGGAGTCAATTGATTGTTAATAAGTGGGAAGAAAAACATGTTCCAGGGGACGGAGATACAACCTCCACGGGGGCGAGGGGTATTGGGAACGCAAGTGGAGCGGAGCAGACATCCACGAGGATGCGAAGTCGAAGTCAGAGGGAAGCTTGGTTTCAAGGATATTCCGCCGCCTGAGGTAAGTCCCGCCACTGTGCCAGGCCAGCATGCACGGCGGCTCTCCGTATCGATGATGATGAATCATCATGATGATGATGCCGATGATAACGATGATAATTATGGTGAAAATGGTGATGCTGGTAATGTTTAGATTAAGAAATGAGTTAAGCTGATGAGACTGCTGATGATGATGACGGTGATTATGATGATGATGATGGTGGTGATGATGCTGATGATGGTGGTGGTGGTGATGCTGGTGGCGGTGATGATGATGAGGTTGATGGTGCCGGTGTGGATGATGAGGACGATGACGATGTTGGTGATGTTGATGATTGTGGTGATGCCGGTGATGGTGCAGATGACGGCCATAATGATGATGAAAATCCAAATGTAGTTGATGACGACGATGAGGATGTGGATGGTAATGATCATGGTGCTGTGGTTGCTGATGATCAGGTGGATGAGGAAAAGGATGAGGGTGATGGTGATGATACTGATCATGATGGTGTGATGGTGGGTTATGATGGTGATGAGGATGATGATGATGAGGGTGGTGATGATGAGGCTGCTGGTTACGATGATGACGATAATGATGCGGATGATGACGAAGACCATCATCATCGTTATTATGTTGAAGATGATGCCGATGCTTTTGCTTTTGCTGCCACCGTTGATGATGATGGTAATGCTACTGATGGTGATGATGATGACGGTGAGAACGGTGATGATGCTGATAATGACGACTATGATGACGAGGATGATTATGCTGACGATGCTGATACTGATGCTGACGACGACGCTGATGATGCTTGTGATGATGATAAAGAAGATGATGAACATGATGATGATGCTGGTGATGATGATGATGATGCTGGTGATGCTGATGGTGATGCTGATGTCGATGATAATGATGATAATGATGATGATGATGATGATGATGATGATGATGATGATGATGACGATGATGGTGATGATGATGATGATGATGATGATGATGCTGATGATGCTGATGATGGGAATAATAGCTGATGATGATCGGTGGGATATCGTGGGAGCTTTCACGGGAGCTTGTCGGAGGCAGTTTCGAGGCCTCTTGGGGGCCGTCTGGCGACCTCGTGGAGGCACCTTCGTCGCCTTTGGGGCTCTTTGGAGGCGTCTTGGGGTCTCCTGGGGGCCTCTTCGTGCGGAAGGCTGGAATTGTCGGTTCGTCTTCCCCATCTTGGGGCCGTCTCTCTCTTGTGTTGTTTTGGGTGCCTCTTGAAGGCTGTTTGGGGCTCTCTTGGGCCGTCTAGGGACCTTTTTGGGGGCCTCTTGGACCGTCTTGGGGCTGCCTTGGGAGCCCCTGGGGCTGTTTCGGAGCGTCGGAAGCTTGAAGAGGGGATAACATGAAACACATCGAACAACACAATGAACATCAATCATTTGTGCCTCTTGGTGCCCTCGTGGGGGTCCTCTTGGAGCACTCTCGGGCTTCGTTGGGGCCTCTCAGGCGGTCTTGGAGGCATGAAGGGCCATCTTGGCCGCCTTGGCGGCTCCCAGGTCCGTCTTGGGAACCATTGTGGGGATTTTGGACGCCTTGGAGACCGCCAGGGACGTGTCCGGGCGCCTACATAACCTTGGGAAGGGGGGGCGGTGCGCGCGTTGCGGTGCGGCGCTGAGAGGGGGGGCCCTTTGAAGATTACAGAAATCTTGCCAGGCAGCAGTTGGCATAATAGCACGCGCCAACGTGCCAGGGGGCACGGTGGCGGATGCCAGAGGCGCATTACGTTCAGGTCCTTTAACGTTCACGGAAATGCCTCTCAACAGAATGCATTCACATAGACATTTGGACGTCTGCGCGGATTTCTTGGGTCGGCGCTGGACACCTTCTTGGCGCCCACTGCGCGCCAGGGGCGGGGAGAGACCTTGCCCAATGCGTTGGAAGTGGAGGTCCGTGTGTGGGACCACCTGGCTGAGCGTGAGAGGGCTAGCATGAGCGTTCGCAGCGGCCGCGTGCTGGCGCCTCCTCAGGATAGACGGCCGCGCAGCTTGTACAACCAGAGTAGTGAGAGCGGTCAAAGCTCTGGAAGGCGCGCACATGCTCGTATGCGACGGCGCACTTTTTTTGTACAAGCGCGCAGATTGCACTGCGGAGCGACGAGGAAGAGGCGGGGGCGGGGCAGGGGGGAGCCGGGGGCAAGCAGATCGGGCGGATGGTAATGGGGGGTGATCCAAGTGGGGGGGGGGGAAGAAAAGGGCCGCATGAAGGGTTTTTTCTTCACCCTCCATGTGGGTCGCACTCCATTGCCGCCCGCCCGAGCAGAGCAAGGCCAGGCGCGCCGCGAGGCGCAGCTGCAGGGCGTCTTCCGCCCATGCGCCTGCCGCGCCGCCCGCACGGTGTGCATGGCCTCGCACGCACGTGCGCGCACGGCCGTGCAGCGAGCCTCCCCCCCTCCTCTCCCCCTCATCCTCCTCCTCCTCCTCCCCTCCCTCCCTCCCTCCTCCTCCTCCTCCCTCCTCTGTTCCTCCTCCTCCT